TACTACGGCAGCCCCAGAGCTGGAATGGGGGGTGGGGGTGTCTCCCTCTCTCCCCTACCTGCGCGTCTCCACTAATTAGGTGGGTGGCCCTTCATTTTTTCATGTGCGGCCGACCAGGTGAACACCTTAGATGGAACTATCCGTGGACCACTTGAATGGAGCTCGCGGATCACAGTTGAGAGTTTAGACTGTATGCTAATATTTTAATTTATATTGGTAACTAATTCTGACTTTTTGCCTGTCATTTATAATCACTTAAAATCTATCTTTTGTTGTCAATAAATTTGTTTTACTGTTTATCTTTACCAGTGAGTTTGTATAAACTGTTTGGTAATCTGCTCAGGTTTGCAAGGCTGGTGTATATCCATTTTCTATTGATGAAGTGTTGAACCAATTAATACATTTGCACTGCCCATCATGAGCAGTACAAGATGGTATATTCCTGAGGTACAATGCTGGGAGCTGGGGGGATTTGGCTGGTGCTTTTCTCTGTGTGATTCATTAGTTACCAATATAAATTAAAATATTAGCATACAGTCTAAACTCTCAACTGTGATCCGCGAGCTCCATTCAAGTGATCCATGGATAGTTCCATCTAAGGTGTTCACCTGGTCGGCTGCACACGAAAAAATGAAGGGCCACCCACCTAATTAGTGGAGCCGCGCAGGTAGGGGAGAAAGGGAGACACCTCCCGCCCCCATTCCAGATCTGAGGTTGCCATAGTAGGGGGGGAGAGGGCACATCCATTGCATTTGAAAGGTAAGACTACTGATATTAAAATGTGTTGTTTGCTTTCATTTGTTGAACGAAAAAACGTTTATTATTATTATTTATTTACAATGGCTATCTAACAGTACAAACAATAATTGGAAAGATCATCAACAATTTCCAAGTGGTCCGCGAAAAAAAAAAGTTTGAGAACCACTGATCTAGCTTAAGCATTTTTTCTCACCCCACAGGATATTGCAGTTCATAGTACACAGATTTCATCCTTGAAACCTGGGCCAGTCTCCTCTGCTGGAGTCTTAACTAAGTCTTCTCAGTGTCCTTGTTGCTTGCAGCATAGGTGAGGGCAGGAGAAAGGACAAGCGTGTTCCCCTGTGTTCTGTTTTATACCCTCTGTCCCATGTGTTTGCTGAGTCCCCAGGCAAGGTTGAGCAATTCCCTTGGTGTGGCCTCATGCAGGTGAGTCAATGAACTGTAGCTCTCTTGCTGGACAATGGCTGTTGATGGGTTGTTTCACACCCCGCCCGAGCGTTGGTTACTTTCCTTGCTGTTGCTAATATCTGGCCAATTTACAGCATGTTTTAGTGACAACCATACAACACAATTCTCATAACTTCATATGCATTAAGGATATACACATATGGATAGAAAAATCACTTTCAGCAGATCATAACGTTTTTCCCCGATACCTCACATGGCCTGCTTTATATGCAAGATCACAATTACATACAGATGAGGAATATGGGGATTACAAGACGTTCCCCCAAGGTATAGTATGTCACTCTTGCATTTACCTGTGACACCGAGTACTTTTCCCAGACCAGAACAAGAGCTCTGTGTGAGCTCAAAAGTTTGTCTCTCTCACCAATGGAAGTCTGTCCAATAAAAGATACTGCATTACCCACCTTGTGTGTCTATTATCCTGGGACTGACATGACTACAACAACACTGCATAGTATAAATTTCATCATTTTGAATTCATTAACCTAAAAATATATGTTGAGTATACAAACTCTTCCACAAGAACTATTTCTAAACATGGAAATGGTCTTTGTGGTACCTCTGACTAAACCTCTACCAACTAGTGGGGGCGGGGAGGGTGGTTGTACGTGTTCTGTGTTAAAAGAATGTTTTGAAGGTTGCAAAGTCAAGAACTCAAAAGTTAGAAAATTCTATGTTTATGATCACCAAACAACCTTAATTCTACCCTCTCTTTCTCCCCTACACACTGCACTGAAGGAGGCCGGTATAGTCTAGAAAAACTATGTGATCATGTAATTAAAAGCTGTTTCGTGTATAATGCCCAAGCGGTACTAATACAGTTAAATAACTTTCTTCTAATGTAGTCTTTTAGTGTAATTTCCTATGTTTAGTAAAGGACAAGGTTAAAACAAATTATCTTGGGTTTACCTGTAACAAGACCCTCTCATATATCATCAATAAGAGTGGATCCCTGAGCCTTTGCTGTTGCACCAGACTGCTACCACCACAGCACTAACTTAATTAGCTGGCAGCAGGAGAAGGTTGCTGTTCCAGAGGTGGAACGGACCATTGGTACTATGTGCTAGGTCCAGAGGGTGGAAAACGGCCCTGCCCAGGTTTCTTTCTTCCCTCTCCCCAGGAGACAGGCACTCCTCTTCCATGCTGGGGCAGCAAGTCTGGGGGAGATGAGATTCTGGGCATGTTTGAGGGGCTCTGTCCAGTCCAGATGTTCCAAGACACTTCTTGCTTCAGCTGTTCTCACGGCCATTCCTAGTTTGGTGCGTCTGCTGCTGCTTTGGCAGTGGTATGAGCCTGGTGTTCAGTGTTCATGTATTTGATTATTAATTTGGCAAACAAGAGAAAGGGAATGGTGATATTTAACCATTGAGAACTCAGCTAAGCCTGAATGGAATTTCATGGGACAAAGAAAAGTCACTTCTCCAGCCTGAGGGATTTCCCCCTGCTGAATTTCAAAGGGTTGCTGCAAACCAGGAAGGTTTTAGAGCGTCTAAAACACTTCATTCTTCTATAAAGTAAAAAATTACACAACCTAAATATAGGGATTGCTAGCAGTTGACCTGATAATACAAAAAGCTGTGAATGTATAAATACACCAAGACAAGATCAGCAGAGATATGAGATGAAAGAGTGTAAGATGTTCTAACATACAGAAATATTCAGCTATTGGATTAGTAGAAGAAACCAGTCAAGTTTGAATCAGTTTGTTCCCTAACATCCCCTTCCTCCTTGTGTAACACAAGGTTCTCAAAGACGATGTTGGTTTCAGTCATTGTAGAGCCAAAGTTTAGCTGTGTTCATGGTTATATAGCAGAACAACCCCTCCCCCCAGCCTTGTGATCAAATCCACAGGAGGTCTCGGGTGAAGGAAAGCTTTACAAGGTTTCTTTTGTGAAATTCCTCAGCAGTTTTCAGCTGAGGAGGTGCTGGTGCCACATACTCCTATAGAAGAAGTTAGTTCTTCTTCAAGTATTGCTGATGCCCTAAAATCCATGTGGATACTGGGGGTTCCGCTAGGTCCATGGGCCATAAGTGTAGAGACATACCACTAATCTGCTTTATGGAGCTGAATTGACAGGGCTTTCCCTTCTGGACATGGTTCTTGTATCCAACTCCCAAAGGGGCTCCCATAGCATGGAGAATTTCCACTCAGAAGTTAATACAGCTATTTCTGAGTGGATTTTCTCCTGGATTGATTCAAAAGGATGTCTCCAGGCCTACTCCTGACTTGCTCCTTCCCCATATGTGGATCCTCAATTCAATAAAGGGCTCTCCTTGGATTTAGGGACAGGGAGGTTGTGCCTCAAAAGTGTTTATCAGCACATTTTTTTCAATCACAAGAACAGGACACATGAATGTGCAGGGAGTTTCCTGTGGAGCAGCGAAGAAGGTACCATCTGGTCCAATTTTCTTTAATTTCCAACCCTACGCCTCCTGCGTAAAACCCCCCAGCAAACAGTTAAGATATAATAATAAACCATTAAAATCTAAGACTAGAAAGGAACATATTGAACATATCAGGAATAGTGTGATTTTTTCCATTAAAAACTTTGCACATGTCTTAGTTTTTTGGTCACGGTGTAAGGAATATTGTCATTTCCGTTGCACTCTACTTTTTCTCTTAGCGATTTCTCCAGTAAGAACTGAACTCCTTTCGAACGCCAGCACCCCGGGGGTCCGGACTGCAGTCTGCTCAGCTACAGCAAAACCTGCCCCAGAAATCACATGGAAGCCTGAGGGCATCCTGATTGGCCAGCCTGAGACATATGGAGTTAAGAATGCAAATGGTACCGTGACCGTGACAAGCACGTGTAACGTCTCTATGAGGCTCCTGCAATCGAACAACCTCCAGGCTTTGACTTGTGTAATAAACCACCCTATGGGAAGGAAAGAGGAGATAATTGACCCACTAGAAGAATATGAAGGTAGGTTAGATCTTGGTGTTGGTATATTATTGTCTGGGGAGTGGAGAGCAGAGAAAAGCCGTACCAAACAAAAGAATAGTTGTCCAAAGAAGGTTGGTTCTCTTCCAGTGAATTAAAAATAAATTCTTAATGTATAATCACAGTGAATACAGTTGTGGTTAAATCTTGCCTGGCCAGAGATTTGCCCTGTGGACCCTACTTTTCTTCAATGGCTTGTATCTGAGGACTTCTCTTCACTGCCAACAGTGCATTCAAGTTAGTGCACTTGAGTTACTACACTGCAGCTCCACATAGTGCTTTGATAAGCAGAGCAATTGGATTAGCTGATAATGAGATGTTGTAACTTCAGCACCACTCCTATTTCAACCTGCTCCCCTGATGGGCCAGCTAGTGCAAATGTAAAACACCACTTAACTTGATCTCGAGACTTGTGTGCAGATGGGAGTCGTAATACTCGAGTTACAACTCGCAACCCTGTTGGTATGTTCACACAGCAGCTGGCAAGGTACTTCCCAGCCTGGGTGGACAGAGACATGATAGCTTAGATGGAAATAGTGTGCTAAAACTAGCAGTGTGGCTGTGGCTGCTTGGATGGTGGCAGGGGGTAACTAACCCCACTGGAGCACCTATGGGTGGCTAGCCTGAGCGGCCACATGTGCTACCACATCTTCACTGCTATTGTTACCCATTCTAAAATCAGACCTTCCCTTGCCATGTAGACATACACTTAGATATTCAGAAGACTAAGTTTTTCCTGGTATTTCAGTCCTAGAGCTGTTTCTGGAGCTTTAGATTAAAGGATGTCCTGTACTAAGAAATTCAAGGAAATCCTCATCACAAATTACCTTATTTCTTATAGAAAAGATCACCAAAGCAGCCATTTTTTAGAAATGAACTTTTTTACAAAAAGTATTGTAAATATCAAAATCTTTCATTTTTGGTCAGTTTCAACATAATTGATTTTTTTGAATATTCATTTTCATTATTTTTCATTTGACAACTTTGCTAAACAAAAAATTTAATAATGATTTTGACAATAAAATTAAAAGTATATATTGAAAACCCACCTTGTTGAATCTTTGAGGTAAAAGGGTCCATTCTAAGCTCTGTGAAATGGAGGCACCTTTGAAATTCTGAAACTTGCAACCTGTTTTTTCCCGTTTTTCAAGTAGGTCTAAGAGGCAATAGCAGTATAAATGAGTATTCATGGGACTCTCTCGACTAATAGTAATTTTTCTGATGAATCGCTACTTAGCACTTTCAAAGCATTTCACAGCTACTAACTAATCCTCAAAACACATCTGTGAAATATGTATTACTAGAATTAGCTGAATAATGCAAAAACATTATTCATACCTGTTTTAAAAATGAACAAAGATCTTTATGTGTATGGCACAAAGTTACGTGCTATTCTTTATTGGCTATTCATCAATCCCTATTCTCCTGTTCACAAAATCTTCCATCCAATCAGAGAGCAGAAACAGAATCGTGTAACCCAAATGACCAATCACATTTCAGAGTAGCCGATAATGGAAGTAAACAGCTCACATATACCCTATCTGTTCAAATAAACTCTGGTACACTGTTCTGTGAATAAGGAAGACACGACCAGAG